AACTTCCCACTGTCCTGTTACTTGATACGATAACAATTAATCTGGTATTCTCCGGCATAGTCCTTTGGTGGTTAGAAACCGAACATCTATCCCTTCCCTTCACCCACGAGACGAAGGCAGAATTGTGCGGCCAGTAAAGGACGGAAGGGCTTTAGCCGCAGCTGGCCCCGCAACGAAAGCACAGTAACCGTTCCAAGCGAGACTGGAGCGCGCCGACTTTTCAATTTTTTTAGGGCTCTCTCTTACTTTTAACGATGGTTAGTTTTGATGTCGTCTCTTGTTTCTTTACAACTTACGAATGCTGGGTTTATTTTGTACGCTCGTGTTGTGTGTTGTTTCTTCTTAAGCGAGGAATTGGGGAGTCTGTGTATCGAGTTGGTTATTCTTCTACGTTTCCATTTCTTATTCTAGTTTGCTGGTTCTAGGTCGGGTAACTGCGGTAATCTGGTTGCAAAATGTCAGAAGTCCCACACTATGTGCTCTATGAGCACGCTGTGGGATATGCGTTAATGAAAATCAAGGAATTCGAGGATGCAGGACTGATTATCGAAGAGGTAAGCCTTCAGATTCTCACGAAATTGTAGGCCAGTGTAAATTCCTTACAGTGAATGTTTGGTTGAATACCGAAGCTTAGCGTGCATGAGCTAATCATTCGAAGCTTATTTTCGAATGATTAGCACATGCACGCTCTTCTGGCCTACGGGAAAAAGTTTACAAAATTTCAGCTCATCTTATTTTTTTATTTACTTATCTAAATCTCAAATGAAATCATCATAAAGAGCTCTGCGTTCTTTTGCGTTCTTTTTTGGAGTGTTTTTACTTGTTTCTTCTTCAGTCAAACGCAATCGTTCTATTTCAGGTTGACGCATCTATCGCCGATGTTTCAAAATTTAGTGGCATCGTCAAGTTGGCTGCTTTTGATCCCTTCAAGAACACCGAAGCTGCTCTCGAGAATGCTAATGCTATCTCCGAAGGTATTACCAGTTTCCGGAGTTTCTCCGGCGTGAATTATACCCCACACCACGTGTGGAAGGGCAGTTAAGCTGCCCCTTAATCGTAGCGCTGGCGAAAATCGCATAGAACTCGTTTATCAGTGAAATGTTATTCCAATTTGAGGAATTTCCACGTTCTATCTTGTCCCTGTATCACTAGATTCATCCAAAGCTGTCTCAAAACGAGAAAATATCCGCTAAAAGCGCAGCCGCCGATTGCTATTCGTAATGTGGTACGCGGCAGCCCTTCTACTCTCAGGAATATGAAGTGCCAATGTGATTCTAAAGACGCTCATATTTCCATTTTTTTCATAAGTATATCAGTTTGCTTTGAATGATTATATCTGCTGTTATGATTTTCCATTGATATAGGCTTGGCTCATGCGGATCTCATCAATTTTCTCGAAAGCAGTCTACCCCAAAAGAAGAAGAAACTGGTTTTGGGTGTTAATGACTCGAAGCTTGCCGGTTCGCTAACTGAGCGGAACGTTGGCTAAAGCTGTATTCGGACGGTGTGTTACCGTCAGGGTAGAATTGATTCTCCCGTGATGGAAATCGCCCACGAATGACTAGAGAAACTCATGACGTGGAAGCATTTAGATCCTTACGTGGTGTTCGTGTCCACTTTCGCTTCATCTAGCCACACCACCGCCCGCTCCCTTCCTCATCACTCCTTGGCCAAGGCTCAGTTGTCTCTTGGTCATAGTTATTCCCGTGGAAAGGTTCATTTCGTTTTTTTCGCATTTATTTATATTCTATACACGTGCAAAACACAAAAATGCAGGATAACGATTAAACTACTACTAACAATTAAAATTGATCAGTTCGCGCTTCATACTTTGCGACTGAGGTGATTGCGGGACGAGGAGGATATAGGCATTGATCAAGCGACTGAAAGAAACCAGCTATCCGGCGTTTTACAAGACTTGGCGTTTCGGGCGATTGCGCGCCAAACGAATGGATGGGCATCGATCGATAGCGATTGAGAGATTCAGCGTCAGTCGTTATCCATTTACTCGTTTTCGCGCAATCATCATCGGAGTCGTCCAAGACGCCAAAGCGCCGATTCTCCACATTGGCCAGATCGATACCAATACTTTTCTTGTCGCACAGTCTCTCGAATCGCCGAATCTCCTCTGTCGCAAAGTATGAACGCAACCTCAAATAGCATGAATGCGTCAAATTCGCGCGAGATTATTCAAAAAAAGTCACGTCTCCATGGAAAACAGTCATATCTTCATAGAGAAAAAGCACTATGTGCATTGGGAGGAGCCATTCCCCAGCCAGGCTTATAGTAAGCCATGTTATGTTTCCGTGCTGTCTCGGTGCAGCGAAATAGGGGTCATATTTAGCCACATCATACCCTGTCACCAGCTAAGCCATGATAGAACGCATTCTGTCTCGATGAAAGGGTGCAGGCGAGCAGACATGGCGTGGCTGAGCCTCGGAGAAGAACGTCCCAGTTGGGGCATGTAGTCTCGATGAACTTTAACCTCCACACAGTCCTGACTTCCATGCGTTCCCCTAGTAGGGGCATACTCGCCTTCAAAGGAATTTCCTACCACCGAAGAAGAGGAGTTGGTGGAAAACTAAGGGCAAACAGAGTTCGCCATTCACATTGTTTTTAAAATATAATGAATCACAAGTCAGCCTCCTTTTTTCGTCTACAATTTTGCTTAAAGCCAAGAATTTGATCCATCCACTTCGATGTTGCTAGACGGCAAACCTTATTGCTCGTGCGATTTTTCGGTGCTGTTCGGCTTGGGAGGAGCATCTTGCATTTTTGCTAAATTAATGACCAACAGACCTTTTTTGGGGAAATTGTGAATTCTTGTGAAGGGAGGAGATGGTGCAAGTGAGAACATTTGTTACAATAAATTACCGGTTTTCATAATGTAACCTGTGCAGGCTATATACCAGTTGTTGCCCCCACCAGGCGGAAGTGCGCCAATTTTTTCCCATTTTTCGGACTACCCTCGATGCTGGTTTTACGCGCTCTCTTGTTTTGAATGTTGCTAGAAATAAATATATTCATAGTCCCAGTACTTACGTGGAAACGATTTTTGAATGTTCATTAGATTTAAAATTTGGTTTTTTTTGAGCCGTGGACATAGTACTTTATTAGGTTTTAAAATAATCATGAATAAACATAAATCACTTCTTTTCTCGTAAAAAGACTTTTCTGGAAACGATTTTGACGAATTAAGGTGAAATTCGATGTCCATCGTGTGGATAATATGGTCATCCAATCGATCGCCCTGTTAGATCAGCTTGATAAGGACATCAATTTGTTTGGGATGCGCATCCGAGAATGGCTAGTGTTTATTCTGATGTGTCATTAGTTCTTCGAGTATTTTTGTGATTGTCGTACTTTTACAATTCGAAGACGAGTTTATTTACAGTTTAGTTTACGGCGGATGCTCGGAGGGATGAGGGTGCGAGGCTTGGCGCGACGCCAACAAGTTGTCCACCGATTGCTGTGCCTGTCCTCTGCAACAGTTTGTGGAGAATTGGATAGCGCTGCGCCAGAAGGCCAGTCCTCCGACATACCTCTGCATCCGCTGCGAACTACCCTGTACCCTTGTTCATAAGGATAGATGAGTGTGCGAGTGTGCAACATACTCATCTTGTGAAAGACAGGGGAAAGAAGAGAATATCAGACACTGATCCACATTACTATGCGGATTCAGATGAAAATATTCGTACAGTTGTTTTGAATCATAATTGGTGCTTCAATTTTGAATCCATTTCAAATTTGTGCATGTATTCTAGGTACTCATACCACTATCCTGAGCTTTTCAAACTTGTACCGGATCAATACAGATACGCGAGATTGGCTGTGACGATTTTGGATCGTAACAAGATGCACGAAAATGAAAATTTGTTGGCTGACATTACTGGTTAGCTGATTTTCCTGGCCTTCATTTTGGCTCTGTGTGAAAAAACTGAGCTTCATGTTTCTCCCCCTTGCATATTAAGCCGGGATGAGAGTCGTACTGATTGCTCATCTGGTCTAAGGCAAGGGAAATCATAGAGAATATCAGACACTGTTCTACGCTTGTGTGTGGATCAGTCGCATTATCTATTCCCACAGTGACCTTTACCCAGTAATCCTGGAATATTATGTTTTCTTGAGGCTTATTAGATTTAACTTTTCTAGAAATCTTGGACGGTGATGAAGAGAAGGCGAATGAAGTGATTGAGGCCGCTAGAACTTCCATGGGAATGGATATTTCGGACTTGGACCTTGTTAACATTGAGAGGTATGTAAGTTGCATGATGAGATTATATATAGAGATATTCCCCAATTTTTTGGTTGAGTTCCTAACTACAAGAAGTGTTTGTACCCTTGCATATAAGCCGGGATGAGAGTCGTACTGATTACTCATCTGGTCTAAGGCAAGGGAAATCATAGAGAATATCAGACACTGTTCTACGCTTGTGTGTGGATCAGTCGCATTTATCTATTCCCACAATCGTTTTCACGGTATGTGCGTGTTCACACTCCGCGGTCAAGCGATTTCGTCGCTGTATCCCAAGCAGACGTTGGGACGACGAAAGTTTTTTTCCTGTGACTGTAGCTGGCTTAACACTTGCCTACTGGCGAGGAACCGCTCTCTTTCCGCGGTCGCGAAGTATGAACACAGCCTCACTGAATCTAAACTTCCAAGCAAAACTGAATTGATCTAGAGTTGGCACCATTTTCGCAGTTTATGTTCAGGTTTGCGACTCGTGTTGCCTCTTTAACTGAATACCGTCAGCACCTCCATGAGTACATCAAGGATCGTATGAATAGCTGCGCTCCGTCGTTGAGTGCTTTGATTGGAGAGCAGGTGAGAAGTCTAGAATTAATAATTGTT